CATTCCTGGAGGTTTGGGGGTGAACCCTGGGGTGTATGGGTTTTTTTGGGGGGGGACCTCAGCAGGATACGATGCCACGGAGTCCACCTTCCAAAGCAGCCATTTCCCTCCAGGGCAACTGATCTCTGTAGTCTGGAGATCAATTGTAAAAAGTGGAAGATCTCCAGCCCCCACCTGGAGGTTGGCAACCCTGAGGTGAATGGATCCCTCTGCTCTGGGGATCAGTTGTGATTCTGGGAGAATTCCAGGCCTCGCCTGGAGGTTGGCAACCCTAGCCATGGTTTCCCCTTAAAGTTTGCATGGTTGAGGCGTTCTCGTTGGAGAAGTGGTGGCGAAATGCTGTAAGCCAAGATAATCATTTATCCCACCAGTCAGATGTTGAGTACTTTCAGTGCCAAAGAGAAGTTCTCCTCCTCCTCCTCCATAACTGCTTCTGCAGCCACTTTTTCCTTATCTGCCAGATGGACGGAGATGAATGAATGGACAAAATGTGGCCCCCTTTCTATTTACAGTGAAGGCTCCCAAAGGGAGCGTGCATGAATTTGTGTGTGTGTAGGTGTTGGGGTATGCTGAACAGATGCAACAAGGCAGGAACGAAAAGGTTTTCTATTCACTTAACTTTTTAATGGTGACCTTGAGTGCAGTTCTTATGTTGCCGGAATGAGTAATTTTTTTTGCAGAAGTGTTTGATTTTTAAGATTTTTAAAAAGGAATGACAGCCTAAGAAAGCCATAAACCCGTTAGAGTCTACTTCACAGATTCCCAGCCTTGGAGCCAGTTTGGTGTAGTGGTTAAGTGCGCGGACTCTAATCTGGGAGAACCGGGTTTGATTCCCCACTCCTCCACTTGCAACTGCTGGATGACCTTGGGCAAGCCATAGTTCTGTCAGAGCTGTCCTTGAAAGAGCAGTCCTCAAAAGAGCTCTCTCAGCCCCACCCATCTCACAGGGTGTCTGTTGTGGGGAGGGGAAAGGAAAGGAGTTTGTAAGCTGCTCTGAGACTCCGAGTGAAGGACGGGGTATAAATCCAATCTCTTCTTCTTTTTGAGCCTGCGGTCACCTTTGGAATTCTGATATTGTATGGTGGGTGGGCACAGCCATAGGAGGCGGGGCAAGGCACATAAGCCGCACAGTCAATCAAATATGCCATGGTCATCACATGGCTTGATGTGCAAACGCCCCACCTGGCTCTCCCCAGTTTCAAAAAATACTTGGCATGCACCAGAAAAGGTCTCATGGGATGCCATAATGCCGACAGGTAGCATGTTGGGGACTCCTGGTCTACTTCATCACTGAATTTAAGAATGCCTTTTAGGTTCTCAAAATAAAACAACAATCCAGCGACACCTTAAAAAGCTAACCGCATTTATTTCAATATAAGCTTTTGTGAGTTATAACTCATTTCTTCAGATATACGGATATCAAACTGAAGGGGGGGGGGAGATTACAAGTAGGGGGGTGCAGGGCCGGCTCACTCACTAGGTGAACTAGGTGCTCGCCTAGAGCGCGCCGGCCCTTAGGGGCGCCAAACTGGGTCACTCAGATGAGTCAAAGAAGAATCTCAGTAGGGGGGCTATTACATAAGGACGCTCAAGTTGCAACTGACTTATGGCAACCCCAGCAAGGAACTATCAAGGCAAGTGAGAAGCAGAGGTTGTTTGCGACTGCGAGTGCCTTTCTTTGCAGAGTCTTCCTTGGTGGAAGCCAGATGTGCAAAGCGGGCAAAGTTACAAAAGCAAAAGTGAGTGTTAAGAGCATGGGTGCAAGGGGAATGGGAGGTCCGGGGTACAGATCCAATGAACGGGTCCGAGCCATGGTGGGTGCACGGGGGGTGGGGGCGCCAGAAGGGATCCTTGCCTAGGGTGCAAAATAAGCTGGGGCCGGGGGGGGGGGGTGCCAGTTTCCAGGTGGGAACTGCAACTGATCTCCAGACTGCAAAGGTCAGCACCCCTGGAGAAAATGTCTGTTTTGGAAAGCGGACTCTCTGGCATTACTCTACTGAGGTCCCCCCCCCCTCTCTAAATCCTACCCTTCTCAGACTCCATCCCCAGTTCTTGAGGAATTTGCCGACTTTGGATAGGGTAGTGCATCCTCATTATCTTGGGATACGCCCTGCATTAAAGTCAGAAGCAAACTGAGCTTTCAGAAATCTGGGTTTTCATTGAAGAATAAACGTGGAGTTTCAGGAAGAAAGTGTAAACCCGAAGAATAAATACATCTCAAGGTTGCCAAACCAGTTCCGTGCATCTCGAGGGATTAATAGAAGCCAGAACAGTTGGTCTTAACGTTGCCACTGGACTCAGACTTCACTCTAGGATCTGACGCTAAAAAAAAAGCCAGGAGAAGGAAAGGGTGTGCCCGCACTTTCCCTTTCTCTTGGGGCAGGAGGCTGAAAGAATAGCTTGAAGGTGTCACGTACCCGGACAGCGAGAGCTATTGTTGCACTGCCAACACGGCTTCTGCAGCTGGCAGGCTTGGGGGTGGGGAGGGACTGCTCCGTCACCTGATTTCTCTGCACTTTGTCGTGGAAGGCGACGGGGTTAGTCTAACATAGATCGTCTAGCTTGGGGGCCAGATGGGTAGCCGTGTTGAGCCTGAAGCAACAAAATCCAACCCCTCTAATCAAGTTTAGTTCTGTATGGATTGTACCTTGACAACACCCTTCCCACTTTCTGGCTAGAATGAAAGGACTCGGAGATCTCTGTTCCTGCTTGTGTCTGACGAAGGGAGCTTTGACTAGAAACCTTATACCAAATGTTCCCTCTAATTAGGGTTGCCAGGTGGGGCCTGGAGATCTCTCTCTTTTACAACTGTCCTCCAGCTGACAGAGATCAGCTCCCTTGGAGAAAATGGCTGCTTTGAAGGGTGGACTCCATGCCATTGGACCATGCTGAGGCCCCTCCCCTCCCCAAACCCCACCCTCTCCTGTCTCCAGGTGTTTTCCAACCCAGACCTGGCAACGCTTCCGCTAATCCCCCACCCCCCGAGCGGAGGGGTTCACATTCTGAGCAGAATATAACTGCTGTCATCTTAAAATGGGCAACTGGTAGTGCAAGACACTGAGCGGCTCCAGACTGCTGCTGAGCGAGGCTTCCTGTGTTACTGAGCGGCCGCTCACGTGCACAGCTTACAGGGACCACTGCTTATACCTCGAAGATCTTCTTGGCCTTTGGAGTGCATGTCCATAATTTTTTAATTGAGTATCTATTGACTTCACAGATGCCCCGTCATTCTCCCCAGTGGGGACTGGAAGTGGCTCACACTGTTCTCTTGACCTCCATTTTATCCTCACAACAACCCTGTGAGGGAGGTTAGGGTTACAGTGTATGACTGGCCCGAGCTCACCCAGCCAGCTTCCATGGCAGAGTGGGGATTCAAGGCATGTCTCCTAGATCCTAATAGAGTTGCCATCCCCCTGATGGGGGTGGGGTTCCCTCTGCTTTCAAGACCCCCAATCCGCAGCTGGCCTGTGGGGGAGCCCCCCCAGAAGAACCCAGGTGAGCTCGGCGCAATGACGTCATCTGGAGGTGACATTATCACTCTGGGCATGTTGCACAGTAGACGCTCTAGCATTTGGCTAAAAACTCTATGGTGACCATAGAGTTTTTGGCCAAATGCCAGAGCATCCCCTGCACGACAGTCCGGGCACGATGACGTCACTTCTGGGTGATGTCATTGCAGCACACATGCTTTGTGCGCCAGAAGATCCAGGAACCCAGGCTGGAGTCTCTTGCCAGCAGCCAGGCAAGACCTGGCAACCCTAGATACTAGTCTGACATGTTAACTACTCCATCATGTAGGCTGTTTATATTTACTGCCTAAGCAGAGCTGCCTTTAACTCCTGGAGGGAGGTAAAAATTAGGGTTGCCAATCCCCAGTTGGGGGCAGGGAATCCCCTGGTTTGGAGGCTGGCTCAAGTGGTTAAGATGCTGAACTGCAGGCTGTGGAAGGTCGGTAGTTCAGCAGCTCGAGACCCGAGTGTGCCGCATGACGGAGTGAGCTCCCGTCTCTAGTTCCAGCTCCTGCCAACCTAGCAGTTCGAAAGCAAGAAATTGCAAGTAGATAAATAGGTACCACTTTGGTGGGAAGGGAACAGCGTTCCATGCGCCTTGGTGTTTAGTCATGCCGGCCACATGACCACGGAAACGTCTTCGGACAGCGCTGGCTCTTCGGCTTTGAACCGGAGATGAGCACCGCAACCCTAGAGTCGGATGCGACTGGCTTTCGAGCAAGGAAACCTTTACCTTTACCTTTAAAAGACCAAAGGTATTCATTTACATGCATTCAGAAACCTGGATAGACAATGGGATTGCATCTAATGCCTGAGTAGCTGTCAATTTCTTGGTCCTTCTGATATGAATATGACGTCTGTCTTGTGTACGGCTGTCATGTTCATCTAGGGTTGCCACCTTTGGCTTGAGAGATTTCTGGAAAACGAGGGGCAACGCTTGGGAAAGGCATTATTTGTATCCCGCCACATTTTATTTGTATCCTGCCTTTCACCCCAATGGACACCCAAGGAAGCTCACATCATTCTCCTCTCCTCTGTTTTATCCTCACAACAACCCTGTGAGGTAGGTTAGGCTGAAAGTGTGTCACTGGACTAAGGTCACCCAGCAAGATTCAATGGCATGAGTGGGGATTCGAACCTTGGTCTCCTAGATCCTGGTCTGACATGTTAACTACTACACCCCACTGGCTCTCCATATGTGTATGTGTGTCTGTCTGTCTGTCTATATATCTATCATCTATCTTTCTCTTTGCAAATCTTGTAATTTTTCACAAAATAATAATAATAAAAATTAGAATCCTGTGAAGATGCATCTGGAATTCCCATGAACTTGGCTAGATCTTGAATTGCAGAACACCATCTACCAGTCAAATATCTGTGATGATGACAACCACAAGAACAACAACAACAACATACTGGTTAACCATCTCTTCTGTGTCTTCCAGGAGGCCTCAAGCCACAGGGCTGCTCTCTGTGCAAAGTGGTGGCTGTGACAGCCAGTGGCTTCCTCCTGCTGGCTGGGATGGGAGCCGGAATCTGGGCTATTGGTGAGTCTCCGTCCCCAGTGTCCCTTTGCAAGGGTGAAAGAGAGAAGACGCCCATGTCCCCAGAGCCATTTAGAATTCCCATCTTGCCAAATGAGCCCGCTGTGGTTATCCTGTAGTGCCCTGGGTTCAGTAAGACTGTACAGGGGATGAAAAAAAAGAAGTCTATCAAACTCTTTCTGCCTTGGAGTACTGCAGTGGAAATCAGTCCGTCTCTACTGTGGAAAGAGCCACACGGTCTCTTTCATAGTTAACAGCAGCACCACATTTACTTGAAAAGAAAGGGGACCTGAATATAACATGACTTTAGGATTGCCAGCAATCCCTGGGAGACTGGGGTGGTGGTGCAGACTTGCCAAAATGGCTTCCTGTGATGCCGTGACATCACTTCCAGCTCTGTCTGAAAGTGATGCTACCATGTATCATGACCAATGTTCCCTCTAAGCTGTGGAGTCTTGTGAGCAAAAATCCTACTTTGTGAGCAAAAATCCTACTTTGTGAGCTACCGGGCATTAAATTTGTGAGCAAACCATTTGGCTACTGCATCAATTAGTTTGCTCTGGAGCCCTCCTTCCTGAGCGAAGGCAACAATGTGTGAGCCGGAGACTAAAAAACTGTGAGCTAGCTCACACTAACTCAGCTTAGAGGGAACACTGATCATGACACTCTAGGTTGGACATCCCAGAATCTCTGACTTGGGGGGAGGGAATCCTAGAGCATTCTGCAATGTGGTGACGTCACTTCCAGTTACCCAGAGGACGGGATGTCATGGGGTGCCATTATGCCCCCCACCAATTTTCTCTTGCTGCCCTGTTGGAGGGCGGTGGGAGACTAAGGCAGAGTGTGATCACCCTAGATGACCCCTCCACAAAATATGATACTCATGAATGTTTTTATTGCTGTACATTATTGTATGCAAATGTGAGATGGCCACCTCTTTTTCTTAAAAAGAAAAACAACAACAACAACCCTGGTCTTCCTTTGGGGTAAATGCAGCAATGTTGAAAGCTAAGCTTAGACCAGGAGGGCTGTGTCTAGGGGTAATATTGGCAAAGCACTCTTGTGAATGCATCATATTTAAAACCCAGCTGTCTTTGGGGAGAGTGGAAATCCTGTGGTAGAAGGGGGTGTGCCTTATGGTCATCTAAGGAGGGTCATGTCTTGGTGGTTGAGCCCAGGGGTCATTTCCTGCAGGAGCGTACAGGAGCGGAGCTCCAGCAGTAAAGAGCCCAGGGGGCGGGCACATGCAACAAGCCCCACCCCCTGCTCCCAGCAGCCCTCAGTCAGAGCAAGAAGCAGCCAGGTAAGTTGCAGAGCTCCCCCCCGGCCCCCGGTCCAAAACAGTCCAGTGGTACCTTTAAGACCAGGTGTTTTCAGGTACAAGCTCTCCCTCCTCTGTGAGGGCAGATCTGCACATCCCCCCCCCCATAGCTAGCAATCCAAAACAGTCCAGTGGCGCCTGAGCGGTGGGTGTTGCCTTCTGACACACTTCCGGTGATGTCAGGGGGTGTGACATATGCAAATGTGTCATGCTAATGAGCTCCTGCACCTCTTTTTCTATGAAATGACCCCTGGTTGAGCCCATGACTTGCGCCGAGAAAGGGCCAACGTTCACTCTATCTCCATTTTCAAAAGGGCCTTTGGTAGTAGCTGATGAGGAAGATGATGCTTCCCAAGTCTTAGGAGAGGAGCTCCCAACCCATTCTAGGTGAGATGAACCAAGGTTCTTGACTTAGTACATGGCACCCTCATACATTCATATGGTCTGGATGGTCAAACGCAAGCATGAATTCCCACAGAAGATGGCTCTCACCTGTCCTGGGCCCCTCTTCGGTCCCCAGCCTTGTCCTGAATGGTGTTCTGACTTCACCCTTGTGTCTCTCCTCTGTTGCAGTGATGTCCGTGCTTGGAAGCGAAGGCGAGAGTCTGTATGTCGGTGAGTGTTCAGAGAGGGCTGCTGTCTGTCTTTTTGCGCCTGCCTGCTCTTTGTGCAGTGCTTTTAATAGGCTTCCCCCCCCCAGAAACAGCAACCCTGTAAGGTAGGCCAATATTCCTCTGTTGCTAATGGGCAGAAGGTGCAATTTAAACCCAGGATGGTCCTGGCTCATTGTATTATGTTTGTATTTATGTATTCATACCTCACTTTTCTCCTAATGGTGACCCAAAGTGGCTTACAGTGCAGTTCTCCTCTCCTCGACTTTCTCACAGCAACATCCCTGCAAGGTTGGTTAGGCTGAGGGAGTGTCACTGGTCTAAAGTTGCTCAGCAAGCTTCCATGGCAGAGAGGGGATTCGAATCTGGGTCTCCTCATCAAGCATGCTATCTACTTGGCATGCTAACCACTAGGTCTCAGTGGCTTTCATTTCCCTACTTCTAATATTATGCTAGCTAGCTAATTCATTAGTCCTTTGGAACAGTTAGTTATAACTTTTATCATTGCCATGGACAAATTCAAACCAGAGTCCTTGTTGGCAGAGTAATTAACACAGCTATGATGCATAACCTGATTAAGGAGTAGATGAAGGTTTATTTAGGAACTAATATACTTGATTCTAAAGAGGAGAGACAGAGATAGGTTCCTAACTACATCTCTATCTGAGAGAGATGGTAACACTGAGTGTGGCACTTCTGGGAAGGAGGAGGAAATTGCCCTAAGAGTAGCAATCTGGAGACGTTCAAGGAATGACACTTAACAGGAGAGAGAAGGTGCTGACCTCACTATCCTGTCTAATGGAGCCTTCTTGCTGCCCTCTTCAGGGTCTTCTCTTCTTCTTTGTACACCAGACATTGCCTTTTCCAACAGGTCTGAGGTTGATTCATTAACTAAAGTTAGTCTTGACTGTGGTTTTGTGCGACATATGAATGCAGGCATCCTGACTTCATCTTTTCTTGTTCCCTGGTGTGAACAAAAACAGGGAATAGGCACTGGACGAGGCAAGCCAGGGTTAGAGTGATCTTCTGCGAGCTGAATCCTCGTTTCCCAATCTAAGAGCAGTCAAAAACGATGGTTTCATGTCGTATCTGAACCGACCTGTGGAAAGGGTGTGGGAGGAAGGGTGGAGCCAATAGTTAATGCTGCCTTGCCCTTCCCTGCAGTTCAGGTGAGTCCCGGAGACCAGCGCCTCACCCTGTATGACGAGAACGAAGGCAAGTGGAGGCTTCTGTGTTCGTCTCCTTCCAATGCTCAAATGGCCACCTTGGGTTGTGAGGAGATGGGCTTCATCAGGTACGTGTGAGTGAGCCTGGGCTACACAGGGTCAAAAATGAGGAGTGTCTGGCTGGGGGTGGTGGTTTGAGATAGTTAGGGTTGCCAATTCCAGTTTGGGACTGTAACGATTCCTTGTTTTTGTGTGTGCGTGTCTCTTTAAAAGTTTGGTTGCAGGATGGTGGTAGATAGACTAGAGTGGTTGAGAGAGGCAAGTGTGGTATGATTGGTGGTTGACAGAGAGGGGGAGGGGTTTTGGAAGTGAAAATGAGTGGATGAATATGTATGTCAGCCAGGTTTTACAGTTACAGGTTTGACAGTTGATAAGTTCAGAGTTCTGTGTGTGAAAGGAGACACAAGCAGTTCTGTGTTGAAGCAGTTATAAGCTGAAAGCTGAGTCTCTAGGAAACAGTAAAGTTTAAGTGAAGAATTGTTATAGTAAAGTCTGGGTGTTATAACAGACTGGAAAGAGACAGTGAACCTGTATGGCATTGAGATAAACCAGTGATACAAAGTTACCTGAAAAGATGCCTGTCAGTAAGGGAGAAACTTGTGTGTGATACACCAAGCAATTGTTCATTATTACACATTACTAGTTACATTGTTCTACCCTCTTATTTATGATTTATTTCAATAAATCCTTTCATTTAAGTATACCAGCTTTGAAATAAATACTTCCCCAGGACCACATAGTTCCTCGTAAGCCTTGAACTCGGTCTACCAAAATAGTAAGAACAACAGTAAAGTATAAAAGGTTTCGAAATCCTTAAATTTCCTGGTGGCAGCTGTATATACCCAGATAAACAGAATAAAAAGAGAACTTTTAAAGTGAAACCAGTCCTCCAGAATAAGGAGGTCGTCACAGGGACATTCTTGGAGATTTGGGGGTAGAGCCTGGTGAGTGTGGGGTTTGGGAGGGGAGTGACCACAGCAAGGGTAGAAGGCCATAGTGCCCACCTTCCAAAGCAGCCATTTTCTCCATGGCAATTGATCGCTGTTGTTGGGAGATCCTTTGACATTCCAGGAGATCTCCAGGCCCCACCTGAAGCTGGCAACCCTGAATATAGTAGTTGGGGGGGAAGCGGCAGGCAGGTACTATGGCTGCCCATTTCGCTTCTGCCCTGATCTTGTTGAATCTCAGAAGCTAAGCAGGGTCAGCCCTGGGTCGTACTTGGATGGGAGACCATCAAGAAACTCTAGTGGTTCTGGCTTCCGGTCTGGTTAAGATGGAGGACTGAAGCGTTTCGCGATCGTGCGAAGCGAGCGACGGCCACTTTTGACAGTTTGGGCAATACACAGCCCAACGCATCATATGATTTGGATGTCTGAAGAATTATCAATGAAAACACATAAGACTGAAATTTTGCCAAGATGTAATTCAGATCACAATCCGGTGGTATGGAGTTCCACAGAAAGGAAAAAACCCTTTCTGTGGAGGATTAATGAAGACTTGTTGGATAAGAAAACGGTAATTGAGATGTTAAAGGAAGAAACGAAACAATTCTTTCAACAAAATTTAAATAAAGAAACACCGATACAGATTGTATGGGATGCTTATAAAGCGGTGATGAGAGGAATTCTCATTTCTTAACTACCAAAAAGGGAAGCAAAAAAAAGAAAAAACTTCAAAAACAAACAGAAGTGTTAGAAAAAATTGCTCAGAAAGAAAAGGAATTAAAAAAGAAGCCTGGAAAAAAGCAAATTATTAAAGAATTAAAGTTGCTGAAGGAACAACTGAATGAGTCTTGGAATCAGGAAATGTATTGGAATTTAAAGAAGTTACAACAGAAATCTTTTGAAGGGGCGAACAAACCGGGAAAATACTTAGCTTGGCAACTTAAGGCTAGAAGAGAGAGAAGAATGATAACCAAAATAATAGAAGATGGAAAAGAGTTCGTTGATCCTAATGGAATAAAGAGATGTTTCTTCAAGTATTATGCTAAACTATTCCAAACAACTAGAGTTGATCTTGAGAAGATTAAAACATATTTAAAGGAGATTCCACTACCAAAAATAAGTAAGGAATACAAAGATTTATTAAATGGTCCAATTCAAAAAGAAGAAGTGATGAAGGCAATAGAAGAGACAAAGTTGGGGAAGGCGCCTGGGCCGGACGGATTTACAGCGAAATTCTACAAAAAGATGAAAGAAGAAATTTCCCCGGTCCTGGAAGCTTTAACCAACGAAATAAGAGAAAACAAAAAGGTGCCGGACTCATGGAAAGAAGCAATTATTTCTTTGATTCCAAAGGAAGGACAAGATTCAACAAATGTAAAGAACTACAGGCCAATATCTCTTTTGAACAACGATTATAAAATCTTTGCAAAAATTATTGCAGAAAGGGTGAAAAACTATTTACAAACGGTAATTTCTGAAGATCAAGCGGGCTTTTTACCCAAAAGGCAGATTAGAGACAATGTAAGAATAGTAATGGACGCAATTGAATATTATGAAAAGCACCCAGAAAAAGAAGTAGCTTTTCTGTTTGTTGATGCAGAAAAAGCTTTTGACAATCTTAATTGGAATTTTATGCACCAGATGATGGAAAAGATTGAAGCGGGACAACATTTTAGAAATTGTATTGAAGCTATCTATTCTGAACAAAGAGCTAAAATAAATGTGAATAAAGAACTGACAGATAACTTCAAAGTACAGAAAGGAACAAGGCAAGGTTGTCCGTTATCACCGTTATTATTTATCTGGGTATTGGAAATACTTTTACAAAAAATACAGTACGATCAAGAAATAAAGGGCTTGACACATAAAGGACACCAATACAAATATCGAGCATTTGCAGACGATGTAATGTTTATGGTGGAAAACCCAACAGAAAAATTGACATTGCTTTTTCAAAAAATAAAGGAGTTTGGAGAATTGGCCGGCTTTTACGTAAATAAGAATAAAACAAAACTTATATGTAAAAACATGATCAAACAAAAACAAGTGGAACTACAAGAACTGGTACAATGTGAAGTAGTTAAAAAAACAAAATACCTTGGAATTGAATTAACGGCAAAAAATATAGACCTATATAAGAATAATTATGAGAAATTATGGACTAAGCTGACTCAAGATTTTAAGAAATGGGATAAAATGAACTTATCACTGATGGGAAGAATATCAGTTATAAAAATGAATGTCCTACCACGTTTGATGTTCCTGTTCCAAACAATACCAATTCTGCATAAAACGGATTTGTTGGCCAAGTGGCAACAAGAGTTGTCAAAATTTGTTTGGGCAGGCAAGAAACCAAGGATCAAAATGAAAATACTTTGTGATGCCAAAGAAAGAGGAGGTCTACAAATGCCAAATCTTAGACTATATTATGAAGCGGTTTGTCTAACATGGATGGATCAATGGGTGAAGCTTGAAAATGACAGATTGTTGGGGTTGGAAGGGCATGATTGTAGATTTGGCTGGCATGCATATTTATGGTATGACAAGATAAAAATGGACAGTTTTTTTAAACTTCACTTGGTGAGAAAAGCTTTGTATATGGTATGGACAAGATATAAGAAGTACCAGAGTGACTTAAGACCATTGTGGATTGTACCAGTAGAAGTGTTGATATCTTACTCAAGACAGCGAGGTAGAGACTGGTTGCCATATAGAGATTTAATTAAAAAAGAGGGAACAGAGTGGGTAATGAAAAAGCAGAATGAAATTGAATATGAATATGAGTGGTTGAAATATATGCAGATTTATGATCTTTTTAGATCTGACAAAAAAAACTATGGTTTTAGAGAGGAAAAAAATGAAATTGAAAAGGTTTGGGAGAGTGGAGGAGGAAAAAATATTTCTAAAATGTATAAGGTGTTGTTAAAATGGTATACTGAAGATGAAACTGTTAAAGAACAAATGTTAAAATGGGCTATTAATATGAATAAGGAAGTGGATATGGAAACTTGGGAATATTTGTGGAAAAACTCTATTAAGATCTCGACATGTACTAATGTTAAAGAAAATTGTTATAAGATGATGTATAGGTGGTACATGACACCTAAGAAGATTGCAAATATGAATCAAAATATGTCAAACAAATGTTGGAAATGTAAGAGGCATGAGGGCTCATTTTATCATATGTGGTGGACTTGTGAGAAAGCTGTAGACTTTTGGACAAAAGTCCACAATGAAATGCAAAAAATACTGAAATGTTCTTTTAAAAAAGCACCGGAAATTCTGCTTTTGGGACTCAAAATGGAAGAAGTCAATACGACTAAAAAAACTTTACTCTGGTACCTGATAGTGACAGCGAGAATGATTTATGCTCAGTTTTGGAAGACGGAAAAGGTACCAGAGGTTGAAGAATGGATACAAAAAGTTCTGTTCATGGCACAAATGGATAAGATTACAAAAAAACTGAATAACAAAGAAGACGATGAGTTTTTTGGAGAATGGAATGATTTTAAAATTTATCTGGAAAAGAACTGGGATGTGAAACAAAACTTAATATGTTTAGATCAATATTAAGTCAAACGATGTTATCTTTAGATTGTAATGATGAGAAACTGATATTGTTGATGATATGAAGTAATTTGGAGCAGGGGTGGAAGCATTGTGGGAAGCCATTGGAGGGAGGGGAGGAACTGGGAATGGGGTAGACAATTGATAGAATGAAATGTTTTATATGTTGTATTCCTGAGAAAATAAAATTTGTTTACCAAAAAAAAAAGAAACTCTAGTGGTTCTACCCAGAGGCAGACAATGGCAAACCATCTCTGAATGTCTCTTACCTTGAAAATCCTATGGGGTTGACATAAGTTGGCTGCAAGTTGATGGAAAGGATAGCTAGACAGATAGAAGATAGATATAGGCTTTCAGACCAGGCCACACACAGGGCAGATAATGGGGGGGGGGGAGGCATGGCTGTTCGCCCCGGAGCAAAATAAAGCACAGTAGCCCGATCACATGGTCCCCTGAGTCTCCGTGCTTAGGCTGTTAGCTGGCGATCACACAGTGATGCTGCAGCCTGGCAAAGAAGCGGTGTGGCACGATCACACAAGTGTTTCGCGCTTATGCGCATGCGCAGTTCCGTGGAGCAACACTGCTTTCAGTTTTGTGTTTGTGCGCATGCACTTGTGAAAAAAATCCGGGTTGCGACAGGATGTGGACAAGCGCAGGATGCCATGGGATACTAGTGCTCCCGCGATCAGATGCCCGCCTGTGCTGCGCATTTTCCAGATACTAGTGCACTTTCCTTAGTACTTTTTAACTCCGCATCTTCTGCGGGACGCCACGGGTTGGCCACGGGTGCGCTACGCTTCCTAGATGTTGCGGTGTGATCGCGCGGCAAATTCTCCGTGTGACTGGGGCCACAGATGGACTGATAATCAGTCGAAGAAGAAGAAAGGATAGGATTTATACCCTGCCCTTCACTCAGAGTGGCTTACAATCTCCTTCCCTGACTCTTCCCACAACAGACACCCTGTGAGGTAGGTGGGGCTGAGAGAGCTCTTTCAAGAACTGCTCTTGAGAGAACAGCTCTGAGAGAACTGTGACTGGCCTAAGGTCACACCAGCAGCTGCATGTGGAGGAGTGGGGAATCAAACCTGGTTCTCCCAGATTTGAGTCCACGCTCCAAACCACTACACCAAACTGAGATGGGTGGATATGTAGCTCTGCTGTCTGAACAACTGCAAGAAGCAGGACATTTTTGGCTTTCTCAGGTGCAGAGCAATGCTCCCTCTAAGCTGTGGAGTCTTGTGAGCAAAGGTTCTATTTTGTGAGCTACTGGCATTAAAGTTGCGAGCGAGCGATTTGGCTGCCACATAAATTACTTTGCTCTGGAGCCATCCTTCCTGAGCTAAAACAAAAATGTGTGGGCCGGAGGCTAAAAAACTGTGAGCTAGCTCACACTAACTCAGCTTAGAGGGAACACTGGTGCAGAGTACCATGCCCCACCTCTTTCCACCAACTTCTTACTGTCATAGACGGGGAGACTTTGTTAGATGACTGGAGCTGCTGGGGGAGGGGGGTGGACTAGGGGCCACTGTTCCCAGAGGCCAAGGGGATCAGGGTGGTAGATAAGGTTACTTGAGGGCAGTAACAGCATACCTGTTCTCATCAAGCCTCTTGCGTGTGTTCCATTGACCGCGAGAGGGGTCTTCTCTAATGTGACGTGAAGCCTCCTCTCAGAGATTCTTTGTCCTTCAATGGCTCTTGGCGGCCCCAATGAGGATGATGCCTCCTGTGGTGGTCACGTGAGTTGATCGTAGCCAATCGGAGATCCTTGTGATAAAACCAATACATTCTCAGCTCTTCTGCCTTCGTTCCAGATCTCTCTCACACTCTGTCCTGTCCGCTGACACCGCGGGGCTCAATGGGACTTCCGGTTATTTCTGCGTGGATGAGTCCCGCCTGCCTTTTGCCCGAAGGCTCAACGAGGCCATTGTTGTGTGGTAAGGTACAAGAAGAGCTGCCTTATCCCGCAAAGATCTCTGCTGCCTTCCCTCTCCTCAAGCTCTTGGTGGGTGACCCATAACTAGCCCCTAGGAAGGTCTGGGATCCTATTCAGTGGACCTGTGATCCTCTTAAAGGACAGTGAGGGAATGGATCGCCTTGCTTCCTAGTTGGCTCTTTGATGCTCTTTGATGCTGCGTTTGATTAAAAATTTCCCACTTTTTTAGCAGTAGGAAGGTAAGGTTGAGGATGACCATCATAGCCAAAACAAATAGCCCTTAGCATGTTCTGAGCTTGGCTCAGTGACTGAAATGATAGATGTGGATCAAATGCTGGTTCAGGAAGGGGGGCTGTGACTCAGTTGCAGAGCAACGCTGAACACTGAGATATTGGAATGAAAATCTTCACTTGGAATCTTCACTTAAAAGGGTGAGGTAGCAAGTGATACAAAGGACCGATCTGAGATCCTAGAGAGCGGCTGCCAGCCAGAGTAGGCAATGCTAACCTTGATAAACCAAAGCGTTTACCTCAGTACCAAGCAGCTTCACAAGTTCAGCCCAGGCTGGTAGCCAGGATTTTGTGGCTTGTGGGCAATTTTTTTTTCTGGTGGGGTTGAAGTTCTCAGTGCAGAAAGAAAAGCTCTGAGCGATTTACAGTTACTCATTCACGCGGGACTAACAATGATTTATGGGGGTAAGGGAGGACAACATATATCTTTTAAATCACACACATCCACAGTCGGCGAGGGTTTGCTCAGCTGCAGGGTCAGACGTATTCCGTCGGCATATTCACTTTGGCTCGGCTGGATGATGTCAGCTTCTCCAGGTCTTGCAGCGCCGCACTGCCACCGCCTGGCCGGAACGGCCCATTACAGGCTTCTCGGAGTCAAAGAGATTTTTTTCTGAGGCTTTCAATCTCGCGAGCTGAGCATTCCGGTCATCGGCTAACACCTCCCCCACCGGGGGGGTCTTTGGTGTGCCCACCCTCTCTAAGGAGTGGTACCCATTTTATCTACTCACCGAAGCTTTCGAACCGCTGGGTGGACAGCGAGCTAGGGACAAGGCTGGTAGCTCACACCAACACGGGGCTAGAACTGACAGCCGTACTGTTCAGCTCAGATGTAACTAACCAGAGGATAAATCCTCTGTGCCACCGCTCCTCCTTAGCTGATAGAAAGCTGTTACCAGGCTAGATCTCTAAACTGCAAGCTGTCAGCCACTTTAGATGACAGTTCTCAGCTGCTGCAAGTTAATCACTTCTGTCAGCCTAAGCAACAATTCTGATAACTAGCTGGCAGGTGGGGTTGATGACTTCTATAGTCAAATAAATATAATGAAATAAACACTTAGGCAGAAAAACTCTCTTAAAGGAGACCAGTTTCTTGACACAGAGAAGGGATTCTAGAGGTCACCTACTCCATCCCCCTTGCTCAGTGCCAGAGTTAGTCAACTGCAGCACCCCACTCTGCTTAAAGGAGCACATGGTCTTTAAAAATGTTTAAGAATGATTGAAAAAGGCAATTACGGGAGAAATTCTTGTGGGACTGTGCCTTTAAGAAAGGGGGTGGAGTCTCCCAAAGCCCCATCATAGGTATGGGCCTGTTTCAGCAATCACTTCTGCTCCATTCTTCAGACCGCCCCTGACTTTTTATTTTAAAAAATGCTGCATCAATATGGTTTCTCTATTACTTCCCGCCATAAGGACCAGAATCTTGTTTTCCCAAACAAAAGCTGAGGTTTTGGGATCATGGGTTGCAGGGAGCTGTGGAGTCCACACACCTCTAATGATGCTATTGCCTTCTTTTTCCCCAGAGCTGAGTGATCTCCTCTTTCTCTCTCTTGCAGCGAATGTCCAACAGGCCGGTTCCTGGCAACATTCTGCCAAGGTATGGAAATCCCGATGCTTTCGAGGGGCACAGTCTTCATCCACATACTTGCATGCAGCTCCCTCCCTCCCTCCTTTCCCATTCTTCCATTCAGACACGCTTCCCAGTCTTTCTTGATTCTCCTTATGCTGTTATTCCAAACCTACCTTTCCCCTCCCTTCTCACATGCTCGCACCTGGAGGCTCTTTGAGAGCTTCTGAACCTTGCCACGGAAGGTATGCTGGACCAGTTCTGACATACTTGGGGGTTCACGCAGTGAATTTTTATGCGATCTCATACTGGTGGAAATTTCACATCTGAATGGGGTAAAGGAGAATCAGTTAACTGTTGATTCAACTGATTGTGAGCAATATGTGCAGTGCCAGGCCCAATAAATGATGGGGGCCTGCATTCCCTTTTGTTGGAGAATGGCTAGGTAAAATAAGGAGAGATAGCCAAAAGATTAAGTATATAAACTTAGTGATGGCAGACAGCACACGGAGACAGATTCTGGTGGGTAGCTGTGATGGTCTCAAGCAGTAGAACAAAGTTTCAAGTCCAGTGGCACGTTTAAAACCAACAAAGTTTTATTCAAGGTATGAGCTTTCGTGTGTATTCACACTTGGTATCTGATGAAGTGTGCATGCACACAAAAGCTTATGCCCAGAATTAAACATTGTTGGTCTTAAAGGTTCCACTGGACTCAAACTTTCTTCTAGTACATGGAGATGTTTGAGAAGTCCCAGACTCCTTGTATTGGCTAAGCCAAGGGAGACCATTGTTTTAATGCGATCATTCAGCCTTCCATTTGTAATACGCTGAACCAGAGGTCATTTCGGGGGGATCGCGGGGGATCGCAGTTCCCCCGGGTGAGGTACGGGGAGGGCGGGGCACATGACGAAGCCCCGCCCCCTGCTTCCGGCCGCCCCGCTTCCGGCCCTCATTCAGCCAGGAGGAAGCAGGAGAAGAGGGAGGGTAAGTTGCTTCCTCCCTGCTTCTCCCCACCCCTGCCTGCCTGGGGCCAGGGAGGGCCTTCACAGGGCTTCCTCGCACTCCCACCGGCCTTGCCCTTCATGGGGCTCGGCAGTGGAGCTGCAAGGCCGCCGGCGGCGGCCGGGACCGTTGGGGGCGGGGTGTGTGGCCTTATGACACACTTCCGGTGATGTCAGGGGGTGTGGCCTTATGACACACTTCCGGTGATATCAGGGGGTGTGGCATATGCTAATGAGTTATGCTAATGATTTCCCCTAGCTCTTTTTCTACAAAACGACCCCTGCGCTGAACACTGAGATATTGGAATGAAAATTGGAGGGCACATTTGGAACAAGATCCTACAGTTTTGCTTTTGCCAGTTTGGTGTAGTGGTTAAGAGTGGTGGACTCTAATCTGGAGAACCAGGTTTGATCCCCCACTCCTCCACATGCAGCCAGTTGGGCAACCTTGGGTCAGTCACAGTTCTCTCAGAGCTGTTCTCTCAAGAGCGGTCCTCTCAGAGCTCCCTCAGCCCCACCTACCTCACAGGGTATCTGTTGTGGGGAAAGGAAGGGAAGGAGATTGTAAACCACTCTGAGACTCTGAATGAAGGGTGGGGTATAAATCCAACTCTCCTCCTCCTCCTCCTTCCTAGAAGCTGAACCCCTGCACTCACTTTCACAAGAAGGTGAAGAAAAATACAAAATATACTGCAAGGGGGATAATCTCCCTTGAAGGCTGAGACATGGGAAGAAATGTTGGTGGGCATATTTAGGTCAGCATTCTGCATCTGAAGATCAAGTACCAGGTCAATCCCAGTGTCTTGTTTTCTTTAGGAGTAGGGAAATAGGAATGCTGTGTAACACTCAGCACAGCATGCTTTCTCTTTTCGACACCGAATGTTGGAAACCAAAGCTGACCTGTGTCCATTCCTGATCTTGATCATGTGGATGCAGGCACGGAGCTTGCTTCTTTGCAGCCCTAACCCCCCTGAGAGCCAGTTTGGTGTAGTAGTTAAGTGCGCGGACTCTAATCTGGGAGAACCTGGTTAGATTCCCCACTCCTCCACTTGCACCTGCTGATGTGACCTTGGGTCAGTCACAAGCTCTGGCACAGCTGTTCCTGAAAGAGCAGTTTGTGTCAGAGTTCTCTCAGCCCCACCCACCTCACAGGGTGTCTGTTGTGGGGAGGGGAAGGGAAAGGAGTTTGTGAGCCGCTCTGAGACTCCAAGTGAAGGGCGGGGTATAAATCCAATCTCTTCTTCTTCTTCTTCTTGATGTGTGCCTTGCAGATTGTGGACGCCGGAAGTTGCCCATGGACCGGATTGTGGGGGGCCAAGACGCCAGCTTGGGCAGGTGGCCCTGGCAAGTCAGCCTGCGCTACGACGGGACTCATCTTTGCGGGGGCTCCGTCATTTCTGAGGAGTGGGTCGTCACGGCTGCGCACTGTTTCCCAGAGTAAGTTGCAGCCCAGATCTGAGTCACTGTTACGATAGCGGCCAGCTTCATAAGGTTGCCGTCTCGGGGGTCTGACCTGGTTTCGGGGTTCCAGGCTACCTTTCTGGATCTCCTGGGGAAGGAATAAAACCTCAGGAATAAACCATATCAGGGAAGAGAGAGGGCAGAACTGTTTGTTTATTTTCTTTATTTACTTCATTTGTACTACACCTTTCTCCCCAATGGGGTCCAAAGGGGCTTACACCGCTCTCCTCTCCTCTGTTTTAACCTCACAACAACCCTTGGAGGTAGGTTAGGCTGAGAGTGGGTGACTGGTCCAAGGTCATCCAGCTGTGCCTTCCCTCTCTCTAATCTCCAGAAATCCCCTGGCTCGGTTGTCAGAAAACCCATAGTTTTTAATGCAGCTAACGGTGGTTCATCTGATCTTCTGAATGTGGCTCACTGCACTCGCTGTGGATAATCAGGGTTCACCGACCAGGATCTGAAACCGTGCCTTGGAGTTGGTTTATTAATGAAGGATGGTCATAACTATGATTTTGTACGATGTTATCAGTGTGGCCATTTCAGTTTAATCCCGGCTTGTTCCCCAGCAATTTTCTATGTTTCTATGTTGTTTGGTGAGAGGCAGTTTGGTGTAGTGGTGCAGGAAGACTGAGCACTTATTCAGAATAGACTTAAAGGAGTCCTCCCTCTTAAAACTTTTGTATAATTAAGGAGGACTGATATTAATAAAGGGGTTGTGCAGTACCTTTTGTGATATATTAAGAGACGATACTTAGATGCTTTGATATATGATTCTTTCTATGTATTAAGGCTTATATGATAAATAATATATGGTGAATAAATTGTAAAAATATAAAAAAATATATATAAAATTGTTTGAGATATTCTATATTCGTCTGTAGCACGGTATTTGCTGATTTTTGGTATTTCCTACTTACCATCAATGTTCCCTCTAAGTTGTGGAGTCTTGTGAGCAAAAATTCTACTTTGTGAGCTACTAGCATTAAAGTTGTGAGCAAGCATTTTAGCTACTGTATAAATTAGTTTGCTCTGGAGCCATCATTTCTGAGCTAAGACAGAAATCTGTGAGTTGGAGGCTAAAAAACTGTGAGCTAGCTCGCACTAACTCAGCTTAGAGGGAACACTGCTTACCATGGGTCCTATTTGGGTTTTGTGAACTACCAATTTAGCAGCAAGATGTAGGCTGAATACCCTGACTTGGATGGCCCAGGCTAGCCAGATCTTGGAAGCTAAGCAGGGTCGGTCCTGGTTAGTACTTGGATGGGAGCCCACCAAGGAGGTCCAGGGTTGCTATGCAGAGGGAGGCAACGGTGAGCCACCTCTGTTTGTCTTTTGCCTTGAAAACCCCATGGGGTCTCCAGAAGTGGTCTGCAACTGGGTGGCACTGCCCACCCACCACCAAGTTGGCTGGAGACCAATTCTCCCTTCAAAAGGGGGCTGTGTCCTTCTGCATAACCCAACACCAGTGTTCCCTCTAGGCTGAGTCAGTGTGAGCTAGCTCACTGTTTTTAGCCTCCGGCTCACACATTTTTGTCTCCGCTCAGGAAGGATGGCTCCAGAGCAAACTAACTGATGCAGCAGCCACATCGCTCACTCACAACTTTAATGCCAGGAGCTCACAAAGTAGAATTTTTGCTCACAAGACTCCACGACATAGAGGGAACATTGCCCAACACTATATGTTTGGGATCAGCGTGCATATTGCAACCTAACATTTCATCAACAAACTGATCCAGGAAGCCTGCCACTCAGTCGAAGAAGGAAATGAGGCTGGTCTGGCAGGACCTGTTGGGGAAGAATCCGTGCTGACCTCCCCAGATGCGGTGACCAAAAAGGCTAATGTGATCTTGGGGTGTATCAACAGAGGCATAACATCCAAATCGCAAGTGGTCATAGTCCTGTTGTACCCTGCACCGGGAGTATTGTGTGCAGTCCTGGAGGCTTCACTTCAACAAGGATGTGGACAGAATGGAGCGGGTGCAGAGAAGAGCGACAAGGATGATTGGGGGCCTGGAGGCCAAGCCCTGTGAGGAAAGCCTGAGGGACTTGGGAATATTCCGTCTGGAGAAGAGGAAGTTGAGGGGGGGACAGGATTGCTCTCTCTAAGTATTTGAAGGGCTGTCACTTAGAGGCAAGGGCGTAGACTTTCCAATTTCCCAGGGGGGAGCTGTTCCTGTTGGCAGCAGAGGACAGGATTCGCAATAATGGGTTTAAATTAAGGGTGCAAAGATACTGGCTGAATATTAGGGAAAACATTTTTACAGTAAGAGTGGTGCCACAGTGGAATCAGCATGGGATAGAGCAGGTAGAGAAATAAGTACTTTTCTCCCTTTCTCACAATACAAGAACTCGTGGGCACTCCATGAAATTGCTGAGCAGTCGGGTTAGAACAGATAAAAGGAAGTACTTCTTCACCCAAAGAGTGATTAACACACGGAATTCACTGCAACAGGAGGTGGTGGCAGCTACAAGCATGGACGGCTTCAAGAGGGAATTAGATAAACATATGGAGCAGAGGTCTATCAGTGGCTCTTAGCCACAAGGTATAGATAGGAACTCTTGGTCTGGGGCAGGTGATGCTCTGTATTCTTGGTGCTTGGGGGTGAGCAGCAACAGTGGGAGGGCTTCTAGTGTCCTGGCCCCACTGCTGGACCTCCTGATGGCACCTGGTATTTTTGGCCACTGTGTGACAGAGTGTTGGACTGGATAGGCCTTTGGCCTGATCCAAAATTGGGTTCTCTTATGTTCTTACGTTCAGTGCTTATAGTAGTATATTTTGCACAGAAGTGTAGAAACATCTGTATTGTTGGGATTAGGATGTAGAAAGGTCACATTTGTAGTTCTGAGGGTTTTGTACATGATGGGAATGACGTAAGGAGTGTGCTGTATATAGCAGGGCTATATCGATCCTTTTATCTGTCTAGTATGCCCCGACCTGGACGGCCCAGGCTAGCCCAGTCCCATCAGATCTCAAAAGCTAAGCAGGGTCGGCCCTGGTTAGTCCTTGGATGGAAGACCACCGAAGGAGCCCAGGGTCAGTATGCAAAGGCAGGAAATGGCGAACTACCTCTGAAAGTCTCTTGCCTCGAAAACTCCAGGGGTTTGCCACAAGTCAGCTGTGAGCTGATGGCCAAAAAAAGAAAAAAAAGATATTCGAACTGCTTGTCTGCTGAGTTCCCCAAAAGGCTCCAGGTGAGCCAGGTGTCGGAAGATGAACTGTTGGATAAAATGAAAAACGAAGCCAACACAATCCTGCGAACAACAGCGATGTTTGCTTTCAAATACCAGCATTCGTTCTTCCATGCCTTACGCCAGGGCTATTTTTGGGCAGGAACGCACAGGAACGGAGTTCCGGCTGGCTCCTGAGTTGGCCACACCCAGCAGGAACTCATTAGCATAATAGGCCACACCCAACAGCAGGAACTCATTAGAATTGGCTACATTAGGGGTGTGTGGCCTAACATGCAAAGGAGTTCCTGCTACAAAAAAAGGCCCTGGGTTTTGACAACAAACAAGGTAAACAGAATAAGAAGCAAAAGGTGGGTGTGGCTGGATGACCACACTTCTGGTAACATGGGAATGCGGCCTAATATGCTAATGAGTGGTGCAGTCAGGGTGTGTGGCCTAATATGCTAATGTGTTTCTGCTGCTGGGTGTGGCCTATTATGCTAATGAGTTCCTGCTGGACTTTTTCTACCAAAAAAGCCCTGCCGATTTGTATTATGTATATGGGTGTGTGTGCAGACACCCTGATCTGGATAGCCCAGGTTACCTGATCTCGTCAGATCTCAAGAGTTAAGTAATGTGTTGGTCCTGTTTAGGACTTGGATGGGAGACCACCAAGAAAGTCCAGGGTTGCTGTGCAGATGCAGCTAATGGCAGGCCATCTCTGTCCGTCTCCTGCCTTGAAAACCCAAGGGGATCGTCATAATTCAGTCGCGACGGCAGCAGAAAATTATGCGTGTGCGTCCGTGTGTGTATTCATTCAAATGTACTATAATCGTAGTGGGTGGCGGGTTGCTTTGCTTTTTGCTTTGCTGCTAGCCAAATGCACCTCCCTGGCACTGCTAACCGCCCTTCTTCTCCACTCTCTGTCTGCAGGAGGAATCGAGTGGTCAGCCGGTGGCGGGTGTTTGCGGGGGCCATTTCTCAGCAGTCGGCCCGGGGGCTGCAGGTGGGGGTGACGAGTGTCGTGTACCACGGCGGGTACCAGCCCTTCCTGGACCCCAACAGCGAGGAGAACAGCAACGACATTGCTCTCATGCACTTGGGAACACCCCTTCCCTTCAGTGGTGAGGACATGGGGCGATATTGGGGGTGGGGAGAGCATACGGGTGTGAGGAGGTATTGGGAGATGATGCGGTGTAGTGTATCAGGCCCTGACAGGGCCGGACATGCCTGGACTTGTCCAGGCACAAATACCTAAAGCTTCAGTCCTAAAGACAATGGGCACATAGGATCCTAGCCAGGCCCAATGAAAGGGCTAGGTCCTGGCCAAGAGGCCAATAGGTCTCTTGGTTACTGTAAATAGCCAATCGGGAGTGGGGGTGCGTTTGGTGGTGGGTTTCTCAGAGGGAATATAAGCCGGCCTGCGAGCCGGGTAGTTGTCTTTGTCCTGAACTAAATAAAGGTATGCTTAGCTGAAATCACTCTCCGTCTGCATACTTTTCATGCAGTGTAGTGGTTAGGAGCATGGACTCTATTCTGAGAGAAGCAGGTTTGATATTCCTCACTCCAGCTGCTGGTGTGGCCTTGGGAAAGTTGCAAGTTCTTTCAGAGCTGTTCTCTTCAGTGCAGTTCTCGAGAGAGCTCTCCCAGTCCCACCTACCTCAGAGGGTGTCTGTTGTGGGGAGGGGAAGGGAAAGGGATTGTAAGCCGCTCTGAGACTCCTTCAGGTAGTGAAGGGCAGGGTATAAATCCAATCTCTCTTCTTCCTCTTCTTCCTCTTCCTCCTCCTCCTCTTCCTCCTCTTCTTCCATAACAGGGTGCTGGTTCATCTCTGGTGCTTCCTGTTTTCCAAATGGATGCTGCCTTGGGGGGTGGTGACTGGTATCAGGCACCACAGAGCTGTGGGGGCAGAGTGTCTCCTATTTGCAGTGGGGTCTTGCCATGCAAATGGTGGCTTTCCAATGGAAAATGAGTTGTCAGCCCATGGTGTTGGGAAAAACCTAAGCTGTTTGAATGGGCCACCTTTGACCCTGAGGGTGGATTCACTGCATCCATGGAATATTCACCTCACATAGGTAAAGGTAAAGGTTCCCTTGCTCGAAAGCCAGTCGAATCCGACTCTAGGGTTGCGGTGCTCATCTCCGTTTCAATGCCGGAGAGCCACTGCAGCTAAGAAAAAGGCTAAGATGGACAAAATTGGAAGGATGCAACCAGCTTTTCTGTTGGTGAAAAAAGGGAGGAAGGGGTTCCACCCAAAGGCTATGCTAGCTTGTGAGTACATAATGCACTAGATGAGTCTTTGTAAAAGTGGGCAGTGTGGAACCCATTCCCTCCCCCAAATTCCAGTCAGGCTTGGGGGGTGGAGAATCCCTCTGACATTCTCCTGCAGAAAGAAAGCGGGCTTCGAGCCAAGTCGAAGAAGCTGGAGGAGGCGGAAAAGAAGCGTGATTCTCTTTGGTCCTTTGGCATCTGAAAGAATTGCCAAACGTGATATGCTGTTTAGAAGATAAAGGAGTATCTGTTAACATTCTATGGGGCTGGGAGGTGCTCGAAATAAAAGACCCGCTTTTAAAACAAAGTAAAAGAAGTATGCATGCATTTTTATGGAGAAACGAGACCCGGTTGTAGCTGAAAAACAACAACACAATTACATACATGTGGATTTGTGTTTGTGCATCTATGTGCATGCGTGCGTGAAAGAGAATGAATTTATTTCATTTACTTCATTTCTTGTTGAGACTCAAGGCAGGTTACAGGATTATAAATGATGCAATAAAGGCCAGTAGAATATGTGCACAATTTTTTTTGGATCACACAATAAAAGAAGGATGAAATAAAAACAGCGTAAGGGATTGCCAACCATGCATTTAACAAGAGCTATTTCTGAATAATGAAAAATATTCCCCCTCTCCTGGCACGTTAGCAAGTTTTGTTCTGTCCTAGAAACCAAAAGTGAACGAGGTAGGGTATTTGAAACGAACCAATCAGATAAGCAGCACAGAGAGAAATCCTATGAAATAGAGTCTGAAGAAAAAGAACCCAGAGAAGATCATTTCCCAGCCTTTGCCTGGATCTTCTAGGGAACTATTTCATGTCCCCCCCCAGTCAATCTATTGGAGAAACTGGGTCCCACCTTGATAGAAACAAAAAGCCCAGTTTCACCAAGAATGCTGTTCATATTTTTACAGGCATTATGTTATTATATTTATCATTTAGTGTAAGTTTTAAGGACATGAAAAATTACAGAAGCACAATGGATGATCCCTGGCAGGTGGGGTTAGCAGGAAGCAGAACATCAAAGTTTGGTGTAGTGGTTAAGTGTGCAGACTCTAATTTGGGAGAACCGGGTTTGATTCCCCACTCCTCCACTTGCACCTGCTGGATGACCTTGGGCAAGCCATAGTTCTGGCAAGAGCTGTTCTTGAATTATCAGTTCTGGAAAGAACTCTCTCAGCCCCGCCTACCTCACAGGGTGTCTGTTCTGAGGAGGGGAAGGGAAAGGAGTTTATAAGCCACTCTGAGTGAAGGGCGGGGTATAAATCCAATCTCCTCCTCCTCCTCCTCTTCTTCTTCTTCAAAAGTTTGCTGGTGGATGGGGAAATAGATTAGGAGAAACACCGAACATCCGAGGTGACAATTAGCATGTTGAAAGGTCACAGATGGATAACGTATGGCAGGTAGGGCTGGGAGCAGATGGCACATTATACTTTCAGGTGGACGTGGAGATTGCAGGTGACCAAATTCTTAGGAATTGTTATGGAAACCTTATACCCCACCTAGAATACTTCTGGGTCCTACTGGTGTGCCACCGTGTACCATCGGCTGACAACCACTGTTCTAGGGAATGCAGGAGCTGCTCAGCAGCTGTTGAGAGCTACCTGAATGAGATATCCTACAGCCATTAAATTGGATGTCACCATTAGCAGAGCAATACAATAAAGGCAGTATAATATAGCCAATATCCTGACCTGGATAGGCCAGCCTAGCCTGATCTTGTCAGATCTCAGAAGCTAAGCAGGGTCGGAAACTGTCAGGATTTGGATGGGAGACCATCAAGAAACTCTAGTGGTTCTACCCAGAGGCAGGCAATGGCAAGCCACCGCTGAACGCCCCTTACCTTGAAAACCCTACAGGGTTGCCATAAGTCAGCTGCAACTTGATGGCAAATTGTCTGTCTGTCTCTCTCCAGAGCAATGTATTAAAGATAGTACTATCTAGCCAATAAACTGTGTCTCATGGTTTTAGAGCAACACAATAAAGACAGTATAATCAAGGGTCATTTCATAGAAAAAGAGGTGCAGGAGCTCATTAGCACAACTCATTGGCATAACTTATTTGCATATGCCACAACCCCTGACATCACCGGAAGTGTGTCAGAAGGCAACACCCACCGCTCAGGCTCCACTGGACTGTTTTGGATTGCTAGATATTGGGGGGAAGGGGACGTACAGATCTGTCCTCACAGAGGAGGGAGAGCTTGTGCCTGAATAAAACTTGGTCTTAAAGGTGCCACTGGACTGTTTTGGACCGGGGGGCGGAGGGGGGGGGCTCTGCAGCTTACCTGGCTGCTTCTTGCTCTGACTGAGGGCTGCTGGGAGCAAGGGGTGGGGCTTGTTGCATGTGCCCACCCCCTGGGCTCTTTACTGCCGGAGCTCCGCTCCTGTGCGCTCCTGCAAGAAATGGCCCCTGAGTATAATACAGCCAATGAATGTTGCTGTATGTGGGTGGGGAGAAAATGGCCCAGAATTTTCACAAGCAATTAAAATCTAGATCCTGTAACCTTAATTAAGAACTGCTCTCCTGCCTAACTCTGTTTTCCCCTGATCGTGGAGAAATGGTGCCGAGTTATGAGCAAACCAGAAAGATTCATCCACCCCAATGATGATACTTTCTGTCGTGGCCAAGTTTCTTGCCGAAGCAGTCAAAGTTAGATCTAGTCTCGTAAAGGAATGATTCATATTGTTTATTATGGTCCTAAATATCCACACTGTGTTATTGTATATCTATGTATCTTACTGCTATGCCATTAAAGGTATTTGACTTTACTTTCTGTCCACAGAATATATCCAGCCCATCTGCCTCCCAGCCTTGGGCCAGCCCTTGGTGGATGGCAAGGTCTGTACAGTGACTGGCTGGGGCAACACACAGTACTATGGTAAGTACCTGTTGAGGCCACTGGGTGTCAGCAGCTCTTATGGGTTGGGGAGGAGCGATGTCTTCGTCAATCATATTGTGCAAATACAGATGCTGCTAAAAGGTGTAGCATTGTAAAAACGTGTTTGTTTCCCTCTTCCATGACAACCCTGCAGTTCTCCTCTTTCATGGTGCTCCTGAAGTCCCCTGTCCTCCTAAAACATCATTTTGGGGGCATTTGGGGCCACTGCAGAATGGGGAGGTGGGGAGGATTTTCAATGGGGTCCAACCGTTGGGGGAGGGAGATTTTGAGGGGTGGGAAAAAAGAACCCAGGTTTCTAGGCCTCCATGGCAGGTTTTAATTACATAGGCCAAACCTGGCAAACTTTCATAACCCAAAGTTCTGAAAGATCAGGATTTCTGGTGGGTAGGTTTGAGTACACAGCATGAGGCCCTTCGGTTTGGCTAACAGGAAAAGGATTATTTAAGCAAACATTTGCAAAATGTGTGCGTCATATATTTATTTATCTGATTTATAGACTGCCCTCCCCTAGGCAGGGCTCAGGGCAGTGAACAGCATTTCAATAAATACATTTACAGTTGGAGTAAGACCATTAAAACAATAACAAATTCTGTAACTATTCAGATGGTGCGTAAAACCAGTTTATGTCCGTGCCCCATGAGGGGAGAGGAAAAATAGAGGAGGCCAGCTTCGATGCAAAAACCGCTGCTCTCCTCAACCATAGGTCTGGTGGATCACCTCTGTCTTATGGGTCCTGCGGAACTGCACTAAGTCCCACAGGGCACAGATGTAATTAGGCAGCAATAGGGTTGCCAAATGTTACCTACCTTGCTGGCGGGGGACTCCTACGTGGCTCCCGGTGTGTGCGCGCGCTGCATGCACGTCACAAGGAAGTGACGTCATGAGTTTTCCCTTGTATAGAGTTTTCCCTTGTATGGCCGTGGCCCCGCCCCCAGCGTGCCCGGCGTCATAACGTCACTTCCCTGTGACGTGCACGCTGGGGCGGGGTTCCCCCCGGGGCCTGATTCCCCGGCGTCGGGGAACGGGCCTCTGGGGCAAGGGGTATTTCCGCCCCCCGGGGGGATTTGGCAGCCCTAGGCAGCAAGTTCCACCAGGCTGGCACCAGGGCTGGGGGGATTTGGCAGCCCTAGGCAGCAAGTTCCACCAGGCAGGCACCAGGGCTGAAAAGGCCCTGGCTCTGGTTGGGGACACCTGGATATCCTTTGGGCCGGGGATCACCAGGAGGTTCTTATCCCCAGGGTGTAATGCTCTCCTGGGGAGTTCAGGCAAATACAGATGCTGCTACAAGATGTAGCATTGTAAAAACATGTTTGTTTCCCTCTCCCATGACAGCCCTGCAGTTCTCCTCTTTCATGCTGCTCCTGAATTCTGCTATCCTCCTAAAACATCATATACCCCGTAGATACATTGGTCCCTCACTGTTAAGGGCCTTATAGACATTACAGAGTCCAGCTTTTCCGAGGGAAGGTTCCTAGCATATACATTTGATTATCCTGCTCCCTCCCCTTACAGTGCATGTACAGATCCGGTTATAGACATGGAAAAGTGGCCAGTTTGCGGCCCCAGTCGCCACTTGGGGCAACAAACTGATATGTGCCCCCCCCTCCGAACTCATGCCAGTGCCTCCCAGGTTCAAGGTGAACTGCTGTCAGGTTCCACAGCCAACAACGTAGTACATGCTTATCAGAAAGGTTATACTTTATTGAAGAGCTATAGATGCATTAACAAAGGCACTGTTAAGAATGGCAGCACCCCTACAAGCATAATGGGATATAGGGCATTCGTATGCACACCCCCCCCTGTCATAGGCAAATTAGCCACATTCCCATGCATGGGATAAGGAGCTCTAGACGGTTAGAAGCAAAGCTGGGAACCGGTAGCACTCCCACGGTTATTCCCTCAGCTCCAGACACTACACCACCTGCACATCTTAGAGATAACAGTCGTTACAGCATAGAAGAAGCACAGAAGGAATGCAGCAGTAATTAGTACACAGAAAAAGGAAGCCGATGGCCTCCTAAACTATCATGGCAGCATAGCTGACAGCTGCTGAATCTGGTGGGGTCAGTAGAAAGGAGGGTGCTTTGGGCCGCGAAATGCCTGACGTTGTCCCTGAAATGGAAGCCACAGATGTTACTAATGACATATCGGGTTGCCGGGTCTTAACTGATTGCTGGCAGAGGGGGGGGGGACGACCAGTCTTGATCTGGCAGAATTTCACCATAGAGTTTTTGGTCACCACAGAGCTTTTTGCCCAAATGTCAGACTGTCCCCTGCATGCTGTGCCCAGCGCAATGATGTCACCTCCGGGTGATGTCATTACGCCCGGCATGTTTGGGGGGACAGGGCGCTTTGGGGGTGGGGCCAGTTGGGCGGTGGTGGCCAGTTGGCCAGTGGTGAATTGCCCCCCAAAATCGGGGGTGTGGGCGGGGGGGGGGGGGACGACAACCAGTCAATCTGGCAGAATTTCACCATAGAGTTTTTGGTCACCACAGAGTTTTTTCCCCAAATGTCAGACTGTCCCCTGCATGCTGTGCCCAGCGCAATGATGTCACCTCCAGGTGATGATATCGTGCCCGGCAGTTTGGTGGGACAGGGCGCTTTGGGGGTGGGGCCAGTTGGGCGGCGGTGGCCAGTTGGCCAGTGATGGATTGCCCCCCAAAATCGGGGGAATCCCTGCCCCCATCGGGGGACGGCAACCCTAATGATGTGTGAAGTGTACTTCTCTAGACTAAGAAAACCAGGAAGCAGATTCATAGAATCATAGAATGTTAGAGTTGGAGGGGACCTTGCAGGTCATCTAGTCCAACCCCCTGCACTCTGCAGGAGCATAGCTGAAAGATAGCCCTACATACTTACAACATACCTGAAAGATGGTCGTCCAGCCTCCACTTGAAAGCATTCACCACCTTCCGAGGCAGACTGTTCCACTGCTCAACCATTCTTACAGTTAGGAAGTTTCTCCTGATATTTAGCCGGTAACGACTCCCTTGTAATTTCCACCCATTAGATCTAGTCTTGCAATCCAGAGCAAGAGAGAATAGATCTGCTCCATCTTCTACATGGCAGCCCTTCAAATACTTGAAGACTGCAGTCATGTCCCCTCTAAGCCTTCTCTTTCAATGGATTGAAAGAGAAGCCTTCACTTTTCAATGGATTTGCCATTGAACGTACCAGGAAATTTCCCAGTGGGCCTCTGCCCCCGAGGCCTGCTGATGGAGCAAGCAGAGGCAGTCCCCAGTAGCTGTGCCAGGGCTGCGGTGGATGCTGAGGTCAGACACGGCCAGTGGCACCAGCATTGTGCATCAGCTCGCCCTTTGGCTCTTCCTGGATCACACACTGGAGATGGGACTCCCGACCTGAGTGGTTAGACAAAGGTTCCTGTTCTGGTCTGTCTGTCTCCCTGAGCTACAGGGGTTACTTCGAAGAAAAAGAGGTGCAGGAGCTCATTAGCACAACTCATTAGCATAACTTATTTGCATATCCCACACCCTCTGACATCACCAGAAGTATGTCAGAAGGCAACACCCACTGCTCAGGCTCCACTGGACTGTTTTGGATTGCTAGCTGTGTGTGTGTGTGTGAGGGAATGTGCAGATCTGTCCTCGCAGAGGAGGGAGAGCTTGTACCTAAATAAACCTTGGCCTTAAAGGTGCCACGGGACTGTTTTGGATTGCTAGCTGGGGGGAGATTTGTGCACAGATTTGTGCAGGAAGGAAGGAAGGAGAGAATGAAAGAGAAGAAGGAGGGAAGAGGGAAAGAAAGAGGGAGAGAAGGAAAGGAGGGCTGCTTTTTGCTCCTCATGGCCCGGGGCTGCTGGGAGCAGGGGGCGGGGCTTGTTGCATGTGCCCGCCCCCTGGGCTCTTTACTGCCGGAGCTCCGCTCCTGTGCGCTCCTGCAGGAAATGACCCCTGCTGAGCTACACATGACATTTCAGTTGTGTTATTTCACCTGTAGCAGTGAGGGGAAGGCCAGATATGTACTGTGGTGGCAGTGCTGGGGAAGGGAGGGCATTTAACTTCCCGCACGTGCTGATTCTGCAATTGAAGAAATGTTTCTTCTAGCACAAAGAGAACGTCTCAGAGGGCAGCTGTGTTGGTCTGCAGTAGAACGGCTGGATTTGAATCCAGTAGCACCTTAGAGACCAACAAGAATTCTCTGCCAGAGAATGTAGTGATGGCCACAGGAATAAACAGCTTTAATGGGGGATTAGACAGATTCCTGGAAGACGGGCTGTAAGACACAGGCTTCGGGTTCTCTGCCAGAATACCCAGGTTCAGGCTCTACGCTCCGGTTTGGCAAATCAGGCAAAAGTGCTTTTATTATCAAAAAACAGCAAAGGCAACCTCAATTAACAATACTTCAAGGAAAAAAGGAAATCCCACGTCCTTCAGGGGGTTGCCAAAATACAAAGAGTAATTAAAATCAACTGGAACTTACAATGACTCCACAAGGTAGGGAAACATCCTGCCCACCAGGCGCGCGCGACCTTCCCCCCCACACATTTTTGCTACTTTATCTTTGGAAGGACCTGTTAAGACGCTGCCCCTCCCTGTCTCCAGTGCAGCTGTCAATTAAGAGATCTCAGCTGTGCGGCTCTTGCAAAGCTGAGTACCGGACAGTTCCTATAAAGACATGCAAGGTCGATCCTCCCCCTCCTGCCGTCCTTCAGTTCTACAGTGTTGCTATGTTACAGACAAGTTGGTGTCTTCCTTGCACCGGCTATCAGTGGTTGCGGTCACACGTGCGAAATAAACCGGGGGGGGGGAACGAGGCTATTTCCTCTGGGGAAATTTGACCTGCAATTGCGTGAACACACGGTCCTTGGAAACAGCCCGCCACTGCATGATCAGACGCAACCGCGGGTGAGTCGGGTTTGTTTTTGGGCTGTTTGTTTCTGATGTGCTTAAATGAGGAATCAATGAATTGCATCTCCACACTGAGGGCTCCCTGTGGCGTATGCGATGATGCGCATACTAAGAAGGGGGGAAAAACGACGGCACGGAGTCGGGATGGCCTGATCAGACCATCCCGATGCCATGAGAGCGTGCTGGAGCAATCAGACACAGGACAGTCTGTCCCTGGCCCGTCGCAACCAGAGCCAGACTTTCCTTGGTGTTTTTTAACTCCACTTCTGCGGCGGAGCAGAACAGGTTGCCCACGGCTGCGGGGCGCTTCCCAGATGTTGTTGTCTGATCACGCCCTTTAAATCCGCCCGGCATTTGCGCCTCTGGTGGGTCTAATTGTGCGTATGATTGCACCCAGTAGCTAATAGTGATTGAGGGGGACCTCCACTTTCAGAGGCACTACTCTTTTGAATCCCAGAGCCAGGAGTCAACATCAGGGGAAGGCCTCTGTGCCCTATTGTTGGCTGTCCAGAGGAACTGGTTGTCCGCAGCAGGGCTCTTCTTATGCTCTTAAGGTTTTGGGGTATAAGCTTTTGAGGGTCTGATGAATGGAACTTTGACTCCGGAAAGCTTTTATCCCAAAGATCTTGTTTGTCTCTAAGGTGCCAACCTAGCAGTTCGAAAGCAGGGAATTGCAAGTAGATAAACAGGTACCACTTCGGTGGGAAGGTAACAGCGTTCCGCGCACCTTGGTGTTTAGTCATGCCGGCCACATGACCACGGAAACGTCTTCGGACAGCGCTTACTCTTCGGCTTTGAAACGGAGATGAGCACCGCAACCCTAGAGTCGGACTTGACGGGCTTTCGAGCAGGGGAACCTTTACCTTTAAGGTGCTCCTGGACTCGCATCTAGCAAAAATAGTTGATCTCTGTCCCCCCCACTGGGGCTTAAAATGGTCTGGTAGGGGCATTTTTGGCCAGGGAAACTGCAGCTAGGTCAATCCCCCCCTCCCATTCCTATATTGCTCGCCATTTCCATGTGCCCGGCTTTTAGGATCAAATAAAACCTGTGGAGTTCAAGTCATGAGGCTTTGTTCTAACATAGTTTGGCTTGGGGGATGCTGAAGTTCATGTTATACCATTTCAAAGCCCATGTCAGTCCTCTCGGTGCTGAGGCTCAGTGTGTCCGTGCAGGGCAACAGTCGGACGTGCTGCAAGAGGCCAGCGTGCCCATCATCAGCACCAGTGTCTGCAACAGCCCGGATTACTACGGCAGTCAGATCAGGCCCAAGATGTTCTGCGCCGGCTTTGCCGCCGGAGGCACGGATGCCTGCCAGGTAGGCCGTGCTTGGTGGTGGGCAGAAGTGTGGAAGTGCGTGGCACTAGCTGGAAATCTGTGTGTTTGGGGGGGGGACGACACTGGTAGACTCACAGGGTGTCTGTCGTGGGGAGGGGAAGGGGAAAGGTGATTGGAAGCCGCTCTGAGACTCCTTCGGGTAGTGAAGGGCGGGGTATAAATCCAATCTCCTCCTCCTCCTCC